CTTTGCCTCGGTACTGACATTTCACACACCCAGCCCACAAACCTGCTTGGAATCCCAGATGATGCTCTGGGTATGAAACCAGGGGCTTCAGTGTCTCTGCTCCATCAGCAGAGCAGGGCCCACCACCCCCTACACTAAACCTGCAGTCCAGGGGGGCCTAGGGTGAGCTCTCCCCTGTGCTAGGGACCAGCACATCGCTGTGATACTGACACAACCTGACACAAACTGCAAGGCTTATTCAAGTCCCTCGAGAACAAACTACAGGAGCACTTCAAAAACCCAGAAGAGAACTCAAAAAACCACCCCAAAATCTGAGCAAACCACCCAGCAGCACCAGAATAAGAAGGCAGAAGCTCAGACTTGCCAACTCATTGTCTAGAGCCTGACCAGGAAGCCTCTCCCTCCTGTCCTGAAGATCACAGTGTTTAACTCGCTTCACTCTGTTTGCCTCTGTCATTTGAGCCTCCAGAGGTGTTTTCAAGCTTTTCTCAGGAGCTCCAGGAGTGCTTTCCCATGGGAATTTCAGCCTTTGTTAGCAGGACTGCCTTCCCAGGAATGAAAGCAAGAAAAACAAACTCCAGCTGTTGCGAGATTTGGAAGAACAGAGCCACGAGCATTGCTGGCAGCAAACCTTTCCGAGGGGCTGCAGCAGCAAAACAAGCCAATGCTCTGGGACATCCCTTTCCTGGAGAGGAGATGCTCAATGCCAGGAAATGCAGCCCAGGTGGGACACAACCAACCCCCCGTGGGAGCAGCAATGCACCTGCCCCTTCTCCCGGTTCAGGCGAGGCACAGCTCAGCCTGGAGGTGCAGCAGCCGTGCGGGGCACAGCCAGACCCACCTGAGCCTTGGAGAGCCAGAGGGAGCAGGATGAGATCCCAGCCATGGCAGCTCCTGGAGATGTGTCCCCTCGCTGTAACCTCGCACCTGAGCCAGGAGCTCTGGGAAAGGACCTGGAGGCTTTGAAGAGCAGAGTGTTCTCCAGGCTGTAATTACCCACTGGCTTCCCCCACCCCTGATTACGCAGATGAGGGACATGGCAGAACCCACCAGTCTGCTGGGGCAGGAAGGAGGAGGCAGCACCAGCACTGCCCCTGCTCACCAGGGTCCCAGGGACCTCCTGCCCAGGGATGGGCACGTGGCAAGACCAAGGCAGAGCCTGGAAAGGGATTTGCTGTGGGTCAGGGCTGTTACAAGATGTGATGGATCACCACTAATCAGGCTTTTCCCGAAGGACCACGCTGCACCCTCCAGGGATTTCAGCCCTTTGCAGGAAACCCCAGCCACACTCGAACTCCTTTGGAAGCTGCTTTAGGGACAGTTCTGGATCCAACCCCTTGCTGGGAGCACCTGCAGTGATGAGCTGGCCTGGAGAGCCCCCAGCTCCAGGCACCGGCTTTGGGCTGGTGTGAGCCCTCCACAACCTACATCACCACTCAAACAAAGAAGAAATGGGAGAAGATGTGGAGTTTTTAATCACAGGAGATGGTGCAAACTGGTTGTGCTGGTGCAGCTCAGTGCAGAGGCTGAGTGAGTGCCCGTGCCAAGAGCCTGTTGTGCCACTATCCTTCCCAGGTACTGCAGGTGGCACAGCCACACTGGGCTGTGTGTGTCCCTTGTTTCTCCTTCAGCTATTTTCCTCTTTTTTTTTTCCCACTCAACAATAGCTGGGAAGAGCCTTTTCACTGCTCTGCCCTCTCTGCCCCAGCACAATGAGGGGAACTGCTGTGTGAAGAGCGCCAGTGTTGGATTAGAGTGGGAAGCACTGGGATAACGCAGGTATGCTGGGAGAGGCAAATGGAGTTTCACAGGAGTGAAACCAGCAGACTTTGGGCAAGGCTTTGTGTGAGCTGGGGCCAGGTAGGAGGTGCAGCTATGGGCACAGGGGAAGGCTCACACCCGGAGCCTGGTGGGCGCTCGGGTCGCGGCACCCAGCAGGCAGTGGCTGCCAGCCCTGGCAGACAGGCCCCGTTCCTTCTCAGCTCCCTGCACGCCAGCAGCTGCTCAGCCTGGTGTGTGTGGGCAGGAGAGCAGCTCTGTCACATGCCTGAGCCAGCGTGGCACAGCCGGTGGCATCCCAGCAGCTCCCGCTGCGCCGCTGGCCCCTGCTCCTCTCCTGCGGCGGCTTTGTCCCACTGTCTGGGCAGCATCCTCAGCCACCAGGCACGAGGGCTGGGAGCACAGCAGCCTTATCTCTCGCTCCTGTAATGAGCTGCTCTCCAAGGCTGAGCCGCTCAGGAGCCCTGGTGTCAGCCATTCGGAGCCACAGGGATGGAACTGCATGGCACAGGTTGCCCAGGGAAGCTGTGAGCATCCCTGGAAGTGCTCCAGGCCAGGTTCCATGGAGCTCTGAGCAGCCTGGGCTAGTGGAAGGTGTCCCTGCCCATGGCAGGGGTGGAACGAGATGAGCTTTAAGATCATTTCCAGCCCAAACCATTCTGGGATTCTGTGATGTGGGACTGTGAGCACCCCCACCTGTGTACTCATCCCCAAAATCCACCCCCTTTTCCCGCTGCTGCCAGCAAGCAGAGGTGGATGGGTGGAATCCTCTTCCCCAGGGAACAGCGTGTCCAGTGGGAGGAAGCCACTCGTCCTCCTGCCCCTGGTCCTGGCAGAGCACATGGGCGTCTGCTCCAGCGCAGAGTTTGCAGAGCCAGCCCAGCCTGTCACATGCAAATAAATCAGATAAGTTGCTGCCTGCAAACAGGAACCACTTTATGGAAAGCAGCAAAGCCCTTCCCAAACCGCCCCAGGAGCACTCCAGCTCCCCTGGGAGCAGCCAGAGGTTTCTACCATGCATGGGGCAGGCACTGCTCTTGCTCTGCCACAGTCCAACAGTTTCCCAGCAGCTTCATCTCCACTCTGGGGTCTTGTGGTTCCTCTGGGCTGTTTTCCAGGAGTGGGATGCTGTGGCTTGTGGCCCTTTCAATCTGCCCCTGTACTTCCAGCAGTGCCTCAGGAACCAGGGGCTCCCTGGCATGTGGCTCTGGGCACTGCCAGGAGGACACAGATCTGCCCTGGCTGCCTGGGGCTGGGTGACTGCCAGGGCAGATGCTAAAGGAGACACTGGGGCAAATGAATCACTTTTAGTATATAATTTCTTTGTTTAGCCATGACTTCTGTGCCAGGCTCAGATTCCTCTGGGCCCACTGTGATTCTGAGTGCTGTGCTGGGAGGGATTGGTGACGTTATGGTGTCAGCAGCAAGAGACTTGGGTTTCTCCCTGGGGAGGGGCAGGGAAGACACGGTCCTCCCTCCCAGTGTTGGACAACCACGTCCAGCACAGATCCTAGTAAAGTGCATGCTCTGTTCTCTCCCCAGCTCAGCGTTGGACACACTCTATGAGCCGTCCCAGTGCCAGGCCGCGATTCGGAGCAGGACGCCGGTACCGAGTGTAAGTGCCCGAATCCTTTGTGCTGTGTGAGAGCAGCAGGGATTTCCCCTGCTCAGAGGACTTTATTCCTTTGATAAAACACACCTTTCCTTGCTGCTCCAGCCGGGTGGCTGAGGTGGGTGTCTGCGGGGGAAGCCGAGCGCTCGCAGCTGCAGCCAGAACCTTGTTGGGGCAGGAACTCTTGCAGCACTGGCACTTTGGGCCCATGGCTTCAGGAGCTGCTGGAGTAGCTTCCAGCAGGGAACCAGCCACAGAGGAGAGACTGTGTTATGCTCATTAAGTTCCCATACTGCAGAGCCATGCCAAAAATCCACTGGCAGCACTAG